CAGTTGCAGACGATCAAAGTTATAAATTTTGATAATAAGATAAGGTTAATGTCTGAGAAAAAGATACGTAACCATGGAAACATGCTACCAATTTCCATACGCGGTATCATCTGTGGCCCATCAAACAGCGGCAAGACAAACGTGCTGATAAGCTTGTTGGAGAGTCCGTACGGCGTACGCTTCGAAAACGTGTACGTGTACTCGAAATCATTGCACTAACCCAAATATCAATACTTGGAAAAGTTATTGACCTCGATAGAAGAAATCAGCTATTATACATTCTCCAATAATAGCGACATCATCCCACCAAACGAAACGCTTCCGAATTCCATCTTTATCTTTGATGACGTGGCATGCGACAAGCAAGATACGATAAGAGAATACTTTGCAATGGGCCGATACGTGGACGTTGACTAGTTTCTATCTCTGTCAGACTAATGCAAAGATACCGAAGCATCTTATACGCGACAACGCTAATTTTTTTTCCTGTTTAAACAGGATGGTCCAAATTTGAAACATGTGTACAACGATCACGTAAACACCGACATGTCTTACGAGGATTTCTGTAAATTGTGTCACAATTGCTGACAACAAAAGTATGGATTTCTAGTAATAGACAAGGACAGTACATTTGTTAATGGGCGTTATAGAAAGGGATTTAATGACTTTGCGATACTGTAACATGGTTAGTTGTTGTCGATACATCGATTGTGCAACATTCCCGACATGGAGGATTGCGAGAGAATAGCGCAACAGATTGAAAAACCGAGCGATTCCATTTGCAAAAAATATCGCGCCTTGAAAACTGGCAAAATGAAAAAAGATATCGCGCTGGAGAGACACTTTAAGCCCATCATCGAGCCTCTAAAACGAATTGCTGAAAATATCGCCGACGATGAATTGGTCGAGAAAGAATCGTTTCTTTTCGAGAGTAGACGAAGGATATATGAAACCAACACCCAAACGAAAAAAATCAAGCGCCTCGTTAGACAATTCTATACTGGCTTCCACTCCGGTTAAATCAATGCTGAAACGTTCGAAAACTGTGCCGTCTACTTTGAATGAAATGTCTGAAATATTACCATCGCACGATGAATCGTACGCCCCCTCCGTTGAAGAAATTTTCGAAATCGCCAATGAGCCGCTCGTAACATCCGTTCGAAACCAATTGCAAACATCCGAGAGACAAGAAAAGCTACAAATGCACTATGGTCCTTTGGGGCAAAAATATCTGGGGGCGGGTCCTAAGCGGTAAAAAAGTAGGTCAACATAGACGACGTTTACGGAGTTTATTTTAGTCAACGAGGGAACGAAGCTCGGCAACAAACGTATTACCTTGAATAAAAACG